AAAATAATGTTATTTTTAGCAACATCATATGACCCCTTTAAAGCAACAGCTCTCAGTTTCAGTACTCACTTTCGATAGGTTCCCCATTCACCAGCCACTGAATAGTGGGTTTAGGGTTCCCTCTGGCACGACAAACTAATCGTCCATTCTCATCAGGGGCAAGCACCAGATTGGTGGGATTATCTAGCCAATAGGGAGCAGCTGTACAAGGCAATAAAGAAATCTTAAAATTAGAATAAAAGAAACAGCATGTATCTCATGAACAAGACGCATTATTTGTCTTTTCTCTACGGCTCACCTTTGACCTGGACTTCAACGGAATGGCGAATACTGCCGATCTTGTTGCTGGCCATGCAGGTGTAGTCGCCAGAGTCCTCCTCGGACACATTGAAGATGCGTAAAGTTTTACCGAAATTCTCAATCTTGACTTTTTTGGACGGGAGGTCTGCTCCTCTTTTAAACCAATCAATGGTAGGAGTTGGTCTGGAAAAATGAAAGACGAAAAAAAAAAACAGATCAAAAAGAACACAACATCACTTAATTATAATTTGAGAAATCTAAGAACTAATACTAATACTGATGTATATAGAGCTTTTGGTAACTGAATATGCTGTATACACCAGTGTTGTTATTGTTAAAGACCCCCTGTGGTGAAAATGAAGTTTACAATGTGCAAATTCATCAGTTAACACCATTTCTGAGCATTTTCTCCTTAAAACTGTGGCGTACTAAAGACTTAAGTCTTAAAAACGTGGTTTGAAACCATCCCTTTTCCTACTGTGTTTGCTGTAAAGTACAGCAACGTGTTTATTTCTTGAGGAGACTAAGGTCATTTGGAACAAATAATAAGATCCTGCTGTTGTTTTATCAATCTGTAATACAGAGTCAAATTATATAATCAAAGGTGGGGAGGAAAGTAGGCCTCACGGTTTCCAGAAATGTGGAAGTGCTCACTTGTGATTTGTATTGTAGCTCATTATGTATTTATATGTTGTTATTATTGTATGATGTTTATTTGGGAGGTAACTGTAACAGTGTGGTGTTGTTTAGTGTGTTTTGAATGTGAGACGATGTATGCTTTGGGATGCAAGACAATTTTGGGATGAAATTCCAACAATAAAAGTGAAACTGAAATTGAAAAATGTCATTGTAGTGCTTCAGATGAATGACAGCTTTTTAGTACTACTTCAGTTAACTTAGTGGAGGCGGGGACTAGTTAGCATATTTATATCTGCGTATATCAGGGGTAGGCAAGTTCGGTCCTAGAGAGCCGCTGTCCTGCAGAGTTTAGCTCTAACCTTGAAAAAAAAAAAACTCACCTCCCTATAGCCGTAGTAATCTTGAAGACATTGATTAGCTTGTTCAGGTGTGTTTGACTAGGGTTGGCGCTAAACTCTGCAGGACAGCATATACTAAACGAGATAAGGTTGAAAAGATCCACTGAAGCCCTTACATAAAGAAATTATTTTCATGGAAAAAACATTTAATTCTGTCATTATGTCATTTTGATTATCAAAGATGAGTTTTAATGGATAAAAATAGTGACTGCAGCAGGAAGACTTAACTAATCTTAGTTACCGAAAACTTAACTAGTTTTCGGTAACTAAAATAAATTGAAAACACAAAAATTACTAAAACGGAATAAAAATAAATTAAAGCTAAATAGAAATATAAAAAACTAAGAAAATGACAAAAGCACATAGAAAAATGAAAACTGAAAATATAAAAATAAAAGCTAATTCTATATGAATAAGTATGAGAACATCATATAAATATCACTAAAATAACACTCACACTCCAGCTGCTATACACTCCAGAAGAAGCTGTTCCCCTCGGAGCACTATCTTGGAGCTGGACAAGCCCTTTGGAGACAGAAAGGTAGGCTGGGTTTCTGGTACATTACGTGCTGTGGGGAAAAAAAAGAGAAACTTGTTAACATGCACAGAAAGAGACACTGGTTTGAGTTAGGAGCTTAATTACAATACACAAAATTATGAAAAACATAATTTTGGTTGCACTGTTATGGATTATATACAACTTGCTAATTCTAAACACACACACACACACAATATACATTCGCAATTGTGAGAGACAAAGTCAGAATTAACTCTATAGGAAAGAGTTAATTCTAACTCTCTAAAGGAAATAATTCATTTGTGAAATCTCTATTTTTTTTTTACATAAAAAATGTCACATTACCAGTGGTAAGAGATATAAAGTATGAAAGTTACAAAACTGGTTACATGTTATATATAACCAGTTTTTAAATATTATTAGAATTTCAAATAACAGATTTCTATTTTTAAATATTACAAATTGTACTTATTCCTGTGATGTCAAAAATTCATTTTCAGTCACATGATCCTACATAAATCATTCTAATATGCTGATTTGGTGCTCAAGAAATATATCTTATTGTCAATGTTAAAAACAGTTGTGCAGCTTAATATTTTTATTGAAATCGTGATTCAATCTTTCAGGATTCATGATGAATACAAAGTTCAAAAGAACAGCATTTATTTGGAATAGAAATATTTTGCAACCCCAACCTTGACTTAATAAATGTCTTTATTCTCACATTTGATGCATCCTTAATGAACAAAAGTATTAGTTCTTTAAAAAATATTAGTGACCTCATTTCTGTAATATTTATGTTATTCATGAAAGCATAAAAGATATAACTGTGATGACAGACAGATGGTTAGACATAAAATCCTGGTTATGTGAAGACAGACAATCTTCTCCCTGAGGAAGACTTGATGAGCATGGCAGTATTAGTCCCTATTGTAATGTATAGCAGTAAGATTAGCTCTCAGTTATTAGCATTGCCAGCAGTGCTCTAGGAGAGGGAGTGACAACAGCCTTTGTTGGTGACATTAAGTGGGAGGACAACGTTTGGGCGATTAGACTATGAAGCTGCCAGGAACACGTTTCACACCACTGTCATGTGTGTCTGTGGTGACAGCAGTGCCAGTTCCCTGTCAGTGCGACCACACAATGCCCTGGTGGAGACTATATACGAATGACTCAAGAGACAAGATAACTTTAAAAAAGACAACTTATGTTGTCTGATCCTGACAATATTGTCATATATGGATATTTGGGTGTATCTCAAAAAGCCATCAAGAACATGCCTGGGTCATATGTAATCCCAAAATCAATCAATCAATCAATCAATCAATCAATCAATCAATCTATCTATCTATCTTGCAATCAATCAATCAATCAATCAATCAATCAATCAATCAATCAATCAATCTATCTATCTATCTAGTATATACACACACAAATTATATAATTAAATTTAATGTATTTATTTTTTTTTTTAATGACATTTTTTGTAGATTTTTTTTGAACATTCATTCAACAAATTGAAAGATTAAGATTATAGAATTTAAATAATAAAAACATTCAATATTTAAATAGCTATAGTATAATATAGTATAAATAGTATTTATCTATTTAAATATTTATTAATATTTAAAAATAAATTTGAAAATAAAATTAAATTCTGATCATAATACAATGAGAATCATCCTGTAAAAACATTTTTAAAATATATATATTTAAAAAAAAAATACATTTCTGAAACAATTATTTGGGGGATTTATGCAAAAGTTTTTTTTTTTTATTAACCATTTGATTTCTTGGTTAAATATATGATCCAGGTTTGTTTGTGACAAGGTTTCAATTTTACCCATTTTCTTCATATATTCATTTCCAGCCTTAGGCCATTTCCTTGGATACATACTGTATGTGAGGATTTGCACATGGTAATCATTGCTGAAATTTGGTTGTTGAAAGTTGATGAAATATTAATGAGCACCTCTTGACTAATCTCCTTGACTCTATTTCCATATCTCCATATGAGCAATGTGATTAGGATAATTAAAGCAATTTCAATTGAAATGTGAATACTTTTCCTTCAAACCATGACAGAATTTTGCCTACCCCAAAACCGCACAGAGACTCATGTATTAAAAAAACTGTAAGTAACCTAAGCACTGAGTGGTAAGTTCTACAGTCTATAAATACTATGTGGAACATCGTTGTTTACATTGTATATTATATAACAGACACACTATCTCTGCATTTCCTCTGCTATATGTGGTTAGAAACAGCAGCACTAATTCAGTTAGTGTTGTTTTACAGAAGCATACACATATCCGGCTAGCTGTGTGTGGAACTCACCACCATACAGATCAGTGGAGTTGAGAAACGTGTCATTATAAGGTTCCTCTGTGAATAAAGTTGCAGTTTAATCAACATACAAATACAGAAAAAAAATCAAATTCACTAAATTACAACTAGGAAGAACAGAACAATTCTGGATCAAAATGGAAGATGGACAGTCCTTCAAACCTCTTACCAAAACTGTGATAGTAATCAATGAAGAGTCTCCAAATTAAAGTGCAAAAAGACAACTATCACAGATAAATGTCCACTGACATACTGCAATACTACCTTCTCACCACTAGATGGACCACAATATTCACATATACCTTAGCACAGTGGTTCTCAAACCTCTCCATGAAGTACCCCCAGCACTGCACATTTTGTACGTCTCCCTGTATCTGACACACCCACTTCAGGTCTTGCAGTCTCCACTAATGAGTTGATGAGTTGAATCAGGTGTGATAGATGAGGGAGACATACAAAATGTGCAGGGAGACATACAAAATATGCAGGGCTGGGCGTACTCCAGGAGAGGTTTGAGAACCACTGCCTTAGCAGCACAGCAACATATCAGTTACATCAAATTAAAGGTGACATATCATGAAAATCTGACTTTTCCAGGTTTTAAGTGCTATAATCAGGTCCCCAGTGCATCTACCAACCAAGGAAACGTGAAAAAGATTAACCCAGTAACTTTGTTTTGGTAAGCCTTTTTCTGCAAGCGTCTGAGAAAACGAGCGCGTCTGATTTCGCTCCCTTGGTGACGTGGCAAAGGGATCTCATTATAATATCTAACTCGTGTGTTTTTAACATAAACTTGTGTGTGAATGAGAACTTAGTTTAGTACTCACATGCTGTGACAGCCGCTTTCTGTCCGTGTGCTTCGGATGTGTGCTCTCAGAAAACCGTATATCAGAAGTTTAAACTCATATGGTTTAAAACGCATGATTTCAGCGCGATAAACATGATAATCAGAACCATTAACAGATGTTTTTAGAAGGTCCAAGCTGTAATGGCGCAGCTCTATTCTGGAAAAGGGGGCGGGGAGCAGCAGCTCATTTGCATTTAAAGAGACAGGCCCGAAAAACAGCGTATTTCTGCTTCCACTCAAAATAGGCATTTTCAAAATGATATAATAAATGTTCTGTGGAGTATTCACAGACACATTCTGGGGACACCAGAGACTTATATTACATATTGTAAAAAGGGGCATAATATGTCTTCTTTAAAGATAAGTGATCCTGAAGAAATCGCCACTCACTTGTTAGCACTTTTAGGGTGTAGGGGTTCTTCTGCTGAATGGTGTGTGTGAACTCGAAGCGAGCGGTGCAGCTGTAGTCAGTGGTGGCATCTTTGGCCAGAACATTGGAGAAGAATAAGTCACCGTTCAAGCCCATCGACACCCTCTTGTCCTGTAGTATGGGCATAATGACTGTGGGGGAAAAAGAGAAGACAATCCAGACTCATTTGTTCAACTTAATTTGACGTGCAATAGCCGACAGGCAGCAGAAGAAATGATGCTCAAGATGAGTGTGGGAATCACAGAAGCATGATTATCATCTTCTGGCCTGAAACATCACAAGGATCAGTAAATTTGTCACTCAAGTGAAGGAGCAGTGTGGAAGAGTGTGAGATGAAAACGAGATGTACTGCACTAATCAACATTGAGTCTGGATTTAATAATGATGTCTCTGACTTTTTGGACTAAAGTGTTGTGATCACATGACATTCTAGTAATGGATATGAATATCATGTGCAAAGCAGTAAGACAGTATCTTAAAGGTGAAGTGAGTTGTTTTTCCAATGTTACAATATAGGGATATGCAAAGTATTAGAAATATTAGAGATCTTTAAATTTATTGTATCGGTTGAAAATGCATTATTTCGAGTACTTGTGCATGCTCACTTTCCCTATTTTAATTATATTTTTAATTATTAATATTTGACAAAAATACTAATGATTTAATTACTGTACGTTACAATGTTGTAGCATGCTAAGGAATTTAGTTTTTAGTGTTTTATTTTTAATAATTAAAAAAAAATATATAGAATTTTAATCATGATAGGTTTATACGTCATCATTTACTTATATGGAGGAAATGGGCTTCCATACAACCTAGAAAAATTGGGCAGAGTTATCTGTCTGTCTGACCAATGAACATGGAAAGGAGTGTTCAAGGAAGTTCTTCATCGAAATGTGTACATACTATGAAAGTAGTGGGAATTCAAGCTAGAAATCACTTCACCTTTAAGATTCATAATGTATGCCTCATTATCACTGCCACATTTCAAAAGAGCCGTTTGTGGCTGTACTAATGACAAACACAGTCAAGATGTGCGATCAGTGCTTTGTAGCGTGTGTTTATGCTGCCTGATTCTAGGTCTGTTGAAATGTCTCAGTGCCATGCTTGTTTCTGCTCTCTCAGCTTTTTGTCAGGTAGTGCAGATTCGCATACATGCACTAGCTCAGCACTAATGCAGTAACGGACACTGCTGTGCAGAGGACAGACACAGACCACAAAGTAAGGGGAAGTGAGAGGGAGATAAGAGAAAGAGGTAAAAGAGAGCATGAAGGTGATGACTGAATGCCAAAGTGATGGAGAGGAGGGTTAAGGTTAAGAAATGAGACACAATCAATCGTAGAAAGTGATGAGCAACACTCACAGCTGTCCATCCAGAAGGTTTCAGGAGGGGGGAGACCAGGAGGAGGGTTGCAGGGCAGAAAGAGTGATTCCCCCTCACGCACAACCACAGGCTCCAAAACCTCCTTCGGCCACAACGGAGACTCTGAGTAATGGAGACAAGTTTACCAGATTAGGGAAGATAACATAACTCAATCTATGAGAGATCATGCTGTTTTTATTATGCATTCTGTATGCATGGTATTTTTAAAGGGATAAGTCACTCAAAAATGTCACTGTTGTTCCAAACCTGTACGACTTTCTTCCTTTTCTTTTTTGGAAACCGAAACTATAATAAAGCTCCATAAACGTATCATAAAAGTAGTCCATATGACACTATATAACAAGTTTTCTAAAAGCATACAATCATTTTGTATGAGGAACAAACCAAAATTTCAGACTGAAATGATATCAGATGTCAGTGATATCAAATTACAATGTCATATGTTTTGTAACAAACTGTGTTGTGTATAATTAAAAAATGATGAAACAGATCAAATATGAGACCTACGGTTGAGAGGTGGCTTATCAGTCTGTTCCTACTTAAAATAAAGCACAAGTAATATGGACAACTTTACCGATACTTTTTGTCATTTTTGGTGACAAAATCTTATTTTGTGTTGCATGGAACAATGAAAGTCATATTGGTTTGAAACAACATGCCAATGACTAAATGATGACATTATTTCATTTTAGGGTCAACTATCTCTTTAAATTTCAGTCTGACAGCATTTTAGTGCCACTATTTAAAATTAAGATTACAAGAGTGAAGTTGTTGCATTGTGAGTTTTAAGTGAGTCAAAAGTCTTGAAATATTAACTTTATTCTCAAAATATTACATTTTGCAAAGACTTTTTTCTCGTATTGCTACAACCTTGCTTCAGTAATTTTGACTTTATTATCAAAATATTACAACTTTAATCTCTCTTTAATCAATGCTATGACTTTATTCTCATAATTTTGACTTTATTTTCCAAATATTGTGACTTTATTATTCTTTATTTTTTATGTGGCACTAAAACACCTTTGTACTATCATATGACTTCAGAAGATACTGTAGCGTAAGTCACATGAACAACTTTTATGATACTTTTGTCTGTTTTGATGACAAAATCTTATCTTTTTGTGTTCCACAGAAGAAAGAAAGTCATATGAGAAACATAACATATAGGTAACATAACAACATGATGTTAAGTGAATGATGAAAGAATTTAGATTTTGGATAAACTATTTCTTTACAGACAGTTTGCATTATGTGCATGTTGTGTACATGTTATGTTTTGACATGACAGTAAACCAGCCCTCACTTGACACTCGTAGTAGGATTTTGTTGGAAATCGCCGTGCCAAATTCGTTGGAGGCGAAGCACTGGTACTCTCCTTCATAATCTTCCGATTTCCCGCTGCTTCTGATCTCCAGTGTTCCGGAACGACTCCGCATGATCACCCGCGGGTCCTTCCCCACGTTAAAGAACTTCCCATTCCGCCGCCACTGAAATCTGCACAAACAGTTACAAATAGGACGTGAGCCAACTTGACGCTGTTTATGTAATAGGTCCATTTTTGGAGCTTTTTAATAAGGGGATTTACACACACATCAAACTGATAACAACAAAGATGTGAATACCAAACCAAAGTTGGCATGAGATGGGCTTTTTTCTAAATCCATGAAATCTATTTTCTACATGCAGTTATTCTGAACAATTCATCAGTTTATATGATTCATTGTTTAAAAAGCATTTTGACATTCAATCTTCTGGTGAAATGAGAGACTTCTCTCTGGTGACATATGGTGGATCATTTTATCCTCATGAACCCGCCCTTTTTCGTACAATCCCCTGAAAGCTTGCATTCAGATCGGCCTCTATCCAATCAACAACTTTTTTTTCAATAATCCGATTAATTCGGATGTATGTCAAAATTTAAAGAAAAGATTTGTCACTACTTCCGCCTGATTGCGACTTTAAAAACTTGTAGGATTGCGTGCTTGGAGTTGACTGGGTGCCATCTACTAACCTACTGAATATTCTGTGAGCGTGAACACTAAACTAAGCGTATGAAACCACAATGGTTTTGCGGACTGGCCTGAGTGGAAGGTTTTGTAAAGCCCAACAGACCACCAAACAAAAACAGGCCCTCTGAATGGCCACACTGTGTTGAGCTGGTCAGGCCTGCTTTTCACAAACAAGCACAAGCGACCGGAGCCAGAGTGAGCGCCGCTGCATATCTGATGGCATGAGAAGGGTACAAGAGGGAGGGAGGGTGGACAAAGCTGGTAGTGCCACTGTCAGGTTGGGGCACTGGGTGTCACTCTCACAAAAATGTGCTGGCCTTTGTCAAGCCGAGACTAATGGATGTCAGGTTTAATTAGAGAGCGACAGAAAAGGAAGAATGAGAGACAGAGAAGTAACGTGAAAGTGGATGTATACAGTAAGAGGTTGCTGACAAACTGGAAATGTAAAAGTGGCGAGAGATGACAAAAAGGACGAGACGGCACAAAGAAAAAAGGTTTCATCCATTCTCACGTTGGCACTGGTTTCCCCTTGGCCTCGCATTCAATGATGATGTTATCTCTGGGGTCCACAATGTAGTCCTTTAGTGACTGCTTTACAATGGTGGGGGGTTGTTTCACTGTGGAGGGAGGGACAAAGAGAGTCACTGAGAAAGAGTGCTTAACTCAATGCTATATGCAAGCACTGTATTTCTTGAAAAATGGTTGTTCAATTCACTCATGGTAACACAAAATAAAAGACATCATAAATAACTCATTCTTTGTTAATTACATACATACAGTATAAATTCTTTGCCCCTTGTGTGTTTGTTTACTAAATATATAGGTTAATTTGACTATGTTAGCAGCTAGCAATAAGTTTGTTACTGGAGCTACGTTTATCATTTTACTGTGTTTACACCAATTTCCCCCCAAAGTAAATGCAAAAATGTTAAGAATTGTATATATTCAGTATGACCTTTGCAAAAATGTATGGGAGATTGTAGGATGTAGCTATGAACAACATTCAGTGAACACAGTAAATCTCTATATAGCTACTATTGCGTATAATTTAGCAGGCAAGCAAAAAGTATCCAGAACTACAACTATCCATTATATAATATAAATTTTGTCAATGGACGAGTGCAACAGTCAGGTTGTGGAAGTAAAATAGTAAAGTAAGGTAAAAATCCATTCATTTTCTCCATAGGGGAACTGATTTTTCACAATAACTTATGAAGTTTTAAAAAGAGTTTTTACTTATACTGTGCACTACAAGGTGTTAATCGCTGGTATGTGCTTTGGTCCCGCATTATTTCAATTTTTTTTTAAATAATCATAACAGTGGAATTTCGGATGAAAAACAACATTACCCATGATTCTGTAGAGAAATCTCCACCAGTCAGAGAACCGTGACAAGCAAATCACGACAAAATAACTTTAGCGCTCACCCATGAAGCACTGCGAATGTCAGTTTCCCTACATCCTCAAACAACTTACATTTTTGTATATATATATGCATATTTTGCCATAAACATAAAATGTATTGTTTCTATATACACAATGTCTCTCTCTCCTCCAGCTGTTCCTGTTAGGGGTTCCTGCATAGCCATTTGGCACATGTTTTACAATGGAAGCGTTTCTATATCCATAATCAACATCTTTCAAATCAATAGTTTTAAATTTCTCAATTTAAAAAAAAAATAAATTATGTCATTCGTAGTGCTTCATGGGACAGTGCTTTCTCTATTCAAAACAGTTAAGTGCACAGTCTGGGAATTTTGTCTTTTTGGCTGATTTTCAAATACTTTATTTTTTATTATAAATCAAAGTTTGTAATGCTGTGATTCACCTTGTAGCTGGTTGGTTTGGGTCATGGCTTATAACTCTTAAAGCCTTTTTTAAAATCTCTATGGAAAAACACTTGCAGGCACTAAAAACGTGGACGGGCACTGTTACACTTTATTGCATTCCACCAAATTGTAGCTATTAGCCTCTGTGTTCACTGTATATTATACTCATTGAACTTGATACACGATTAGCCACAAGATTCCTTTCTGATCTACTCTACTTCTAGCTGGCTCCGAACTGTGGGTATTCTGGCACGGCTAACAAACCCCTGAAGTAATCCTTCCCTTCAAAGACATGGCCTGCCAAAAAGACATGCTCTTGGGCTTACATTAGAATATTAATCAGGTTTAATAAATTATAGACTTTATCATTTATCTAGAGTAGCACAGTGAACTTATGTGAGCTCTGTTGAGACTGTATTTGAGGGTCTTTTCAATAGTTTTTTCTGGCCTGTGTTGGCTCTAATTGTAAAAAGAGATTGGGCAATGTCCAACAGCAATTCAGTAATAAGTCTGTTCTTTAGATTTCCGATGTGATAAATTTTGTTGTAAGCCGTATTAAAACCAGCTGCTGATTTAATGAACAAGTTAATCCATGTTAACTTATGCACTTACGCTCTTCCTGGATCTTTGCTGTTAGTTCCAAGGAGGGGCGGATGGAGAGAAAAACAGTTTAGTTGTGTGAATAGTTAACAGAGTGTGAGGAAACATGGCTATAGTGATGGCAACAATTAAAACATTTACGTTAATGTATTAAAATTGCTACTAAACTACTGTTATAAGACAAGACAAAAATATTTATTTTAGTTAATGGCTGCTAAACCGCAAAATATGATTGCTACAGTTATTATACATACAATGCTATGTCTACTTCAACATAATAACACCAAAAATAGCAACCAAAGAAATAAACCTACCTGTTAATGGGCCACCAGATGAATGAAGTGAAGAGAAAATTGCATAAAAAAAAAAACAGAGAGAGGGGAAATTATTTTAAGAAAGAAAAAAGCACATTGAATCAAAAATGCATCACTGTCACATTAGCAAGTCATAATCGGTGCATTTGTCTTCCCATATGGCAGCATATTTAATCTTCGACTGTCTCTCTTTGTCAGTCTGTTAAAGTGACAGGCCTTGCGGGGGGTTTCTCACATTCGATAATAACCACAATCAATGTGATGTATGTTCTCAGAAGAGTCAAAACTTGCTTTTGCGATTGTGATTTGGTAATTAAAGGAATATGACCTTCATCAGTTTTTAGTACCAGAAAGCATCCACGTGTCTGTTGTGCTTTCCATAGCAAGAGGTGCATCTCTGGCTCTGTGCCATTCATCATCTGACATCAATTATAGCACATATGCAAGGTCACAGGGGGATGGGACGTCATGAGCAACATATGTGTTAGTGTGACATATGTGTTAGTGTGTGTGAGCGCATGTGTAAGGTCAGCTGGGAGCCGATGACAACCCTCGTCAATAGAAATCACATTTGGGGAGAGGGCGATATTGGGAGTGAAGGATCATTAGGGAAATAATGGAGAGATGCTAAGAGTTACATCTCAAGTTCAATTCATCTTTTAAATCAGGGGTCTTCTGCAGGGGGTCTGACGATTATTGTTCGTACATGATGAAATTTATGACCCTGGACCACAAAACCAGTCTTAAGTCGCTGGGGTATATTTTTAGCAATAGCCAAAAATACATTGTATGGGTCAAAATTATAGATTTTTCTTTTATGCCAAAAATCATTAGGATATTAAGTAAAGATCATGTTCCATGAAGATATTTTGTAAATGTCCTACTGTAAATATATTAAAACGTAATTTTTGATTAGTAATATGCATTGCTAAGGACTTCATTTGGACAACTTTAAAGGCAATTTTCTCAATATTTAGATTTTTTTGCACCCTCAGATTCCAGATTTTCAAATACTTGTATCTCGGCCAAATATTGTCCTATCCTAACAAACCATACATCAATGGAAATCTTATTTATTCAGCTTGCAGATGATGTATACATCTCAATTTTGAAAAATTGACCCATATAACTGGTTTTGTGGTCCAGGGTCACATTTGTTCATATTATTATATATATAGCCTTTGTGAGCATAAGAGTATAAGAGACTCCTTTCAAAAACGTAAAATAATCTTACTGACCCCAAACATATAAACAGTAGTGTATGTATTTTATACTATGTATATAAATGTAACTGCTCTGTCTCTCTATCCAAACAAGGGTCCTTGGTCAAATGCTTTTGTAATATGGAGTATAAGCGTACAAAGAAGACACAGTCATTAATAGTGTGATCAGATGCTTGTCATTTTCCAGTAGCCCCTGCTGCTGAATACATTCAGAGAGGTCAAGAGGTCAGAAGGGTATTATGAAGTGCTCAGGGACAGGATCAGTGCTCCAATCTTCTCTGTCTACACAGATCAATAGAGATTCACATAGACAGGTCTGTAGTGAAAGCTGGAGAAAGATGGGGGAGAGATGATGCAAAAGATGGAATGCGAGAATAAGGGAAAATGAGAAAAAGAGAAAGGAAAAGAGAATGATGTCTTGGGAATACAGGTGGAGAAGGGGAGCTGGGGAGGTGCTGACAGCCCCTGGTCATGCTGAATCTCTCTCTATTGTTGAAGCTGGTGAGCACTGAGCACCGCTGGGCTGTCTCGCTCTGTATGAGCTTTCAAATAATTTTTCATAAGATTTTAAGCCAAACCTGGATGGCTATTATTAGAAGGAAACTGAAAAAAAATGGATTTATTGGTTTCTTTGTTTAAGATGCAGTTCAGATAGAATGGATTTGCCTCATTTACTACGGTACCATAGAGCGCAGCTTATAGCAAGACGGTAGGAAAACTAGGGATTTTCAAATTTGCTTAGCTGACTAATCGGTCTAAAGTGGAATTAAGAGATCATGAAACCTATCATCATGAATATATGAAGATTATATTTTGTGCAACCAATTATTTTGGCACAGCACTGATGTCCAATCTAAAATCTGGATCCTGAAACAAAACCAGCTGAGAGGCACTACTATAATTTAGGGTAGTGCTGTTGTTGTTGTTTCTGAAAATATGCCCCATAATATTGCTTTGGTCTATTTATGACAGCTTGTTTAAAAACGTATATTCAATGGCAAAGTTTGATTATGCATTAAATAATAGACGTGATACTGATATCACGCCTATTATTTAATGCATGAAGGCAGAACAATAACCCCATTACTGCCTCAAAGAGTGGTTTGAAACCCTCATCAAAAACACAAATTAGTGCAGGGTATATAATTTATGTTGCGAGTTGAAGTGGCACACCATGAAGGTCTGAATATGTGCGCGTGTTGGTGTATGATGGGGGATGGGATTTTGATTCTCTGTTCCCTTGTGTACACTATAAAAATACATTTTCCTTTCAACACAAATGAAAATATAAATATGAAATTAAAATAAACAATTTAACATTTTAATATTTTTTATTTTGACACACACACACACAAACACACATATATATATATATATATATATATATATATATATACAGTGTTTTA